CTGAACTTCCCTTTCAACACAGTGGCTTTAAAGAAACTTTGATCATGTCTTTCTTCTCCCCCTTGTGCTTTTGCCCAGTTCACATCACTCCTTCACTTTCAGCTTCTCAATCCATACCCACCATTTAGTTTGCCCTAAACACAGTTTAAGGCTCATCTAGTTTCTCACAGTGCTGCTCCTCACCATTTACCTCATCCTGGATGGAATTCCTGGGCTCAGCTCAGGTGAGAAAAGGTATGGCTGACTATCCCAGGTGAAGTCAATACCTCATCCCCCTCTATATATTTGTCAGCTTGCCACAGTGGCCCCCAAGAGCAGCTCTGGGGATATAACTGTAGCAATCTGGGTCAGGTTCCCAGTCACAGAAATTCCCCAGGGGTGTTAAACTCTCATTACCTGGTCCCTGTCAGGGGTGGAACCCACCCAGAGCTAACAGTATTCAACTCAAGTATTGGTGCTTGCATTTGTACATTTCCTAATCTTTTTGGCAAATGTCTGCCTTGCCCACATCCCTTGAGTTAACAAAATCAGCTGTGTCCATCTCCATTCCCATCCTGTTCCTTTTTACACAGCTTTCTGACATGACAAGAGTTTTCCAGAAGAGGTGTGTGGCTCTTTTTCTCTCTGCTCAGCAGCTGCAGGAGACAGGCTGCCAAATAGAATCAGAGAATTGTTTCAGTAAATACAACATAGCACTCTTGGAAGTGTTTGCTGGGTTGTGATACCATCAAGTTAAAATGGCACAGTTTGAAAAAAAATATTGATCAGCATCAGAAGTGAGTTTGCAGGCTGCTGAGCTGCACAAAGGAGACACCCAATTAAAGAGAGATGGTCTCTAAGGACTGGAGGTGGACGGTAGCTGCTATCATTCTGGCAGCTTCCTATGATCTTCTCTTCAGAAATGAGTGTGTGGAGGCAGAGAAAAAAGATGAAAGGGAGGCCTTGAGATGAGAAAGGCCCAAATGATCAAAGATTCCCATGGATTGAGAGAAGTACTCCAGAACCAAAGGCATTCCTCTGTTGCCTGTGTCACTGTTGCCCTGGAGTGGATTTCAAAACCTTCTTTAAGCATTACCTGGGATGTGGGGACACACATCAGGAAGCAGAGAGAAACTTTTCAGGCCTTGGGGAAGGCTGAAATTCTGAATGACTCTGACTTTTTCTGAATTGGTTCATTTCTTTATAACCAGATTCCACTGGGGATGTGTGGTACTGGCTACCTTTGAAGCAGGGGCTCAAGAGGCCTCTCAATTCTGTCAACACTCCTGACAGCCTGCAGCATCTGCTGCTTTTGTGCCATGGTCCTTCACTAGGAGTGCCTTTACACCCTCCAGGTTCTGCTGTGGTGCTGCTGCTTGTGTCCCCTTCAGACAGGAGACACATCAAGGGAGGACAGAGCTGTTCACCAGCTCTGATCTGAGTGAGGGGAAATGAATCACACCCTTCACCCACATCCAGCAAGGGTCAGATATGCCAACTGCAACCTGCCAGGAGGCTCTGCTGAGAAATGTCCTAATGGGAGAACAATCAGGGGAGATAAAGCACTCAGGAAAGGAGAGAAGAGATCAGAGTCTCCTGAAAAGAGCACAGAACAAACAATCTGTGATGGGAAGGGAAAAACAGAGATGCTGCTCACCATCCTCTGATGAATTCATCACAACCTGAAAGTGAATTTTGCCCGAAGGAGAAAACAGAATGAAGAGAGACACCAAGACAGCAAAGACAGATACCAAGAGAAAAATCATCTCCTGTTTGTGAAGATCACAGGAAAAAAACAAACCAGCCCCCAGCATATTCCAGGCACCCTCCCTGGAGCCAGGACCAGGGGCAGACAATGCCTGTCTGTGGCAGCAGCTCCTGAAGGGGATCCCAGGGAACAAGGAGGAATCCAGGCTGCAGGTGCTGCAGAGCAGAGGGTGAGAGTCCACAGCAACAGCAGCAGGTTGAAAAGGAGTTGCTGCAGCAGGAGGGAGACAGATGTGTCTGTACACGTAGGTACAGCTCAGTCATTTTAGATAAACTCGGTCTGGAGGGAAGGATAAACTGATAAAGCAGTGTTTCACACAGGGCAAGAAGTACACAGAGTTTGGATACAAACTTCAAACTGAACAGCAGAAAAATGAAGTAGTCTTTTAAGACAAACAGAGGGGTATATATATGATGGTATCAACAGCAGACCTGGAGGAAGATGAGAATGAGAGCATGCAGGTTTAAGGGAAGAATCCAAATGTAGGTTCTTGCCCTACCTCAGGCGTTTACATGGAGCAACTCATCTGAGTTTTCTCTTCCTGCAGCTATAGAATGAGGTGTCTTGGCCCCAGAGCAGTAAGTGGACAAAGGGGAATATGAAAAGAGGTGAAATTCAGACAGTGAGTTGGGCCATGTATTTTAGCACATCACCATCATTCTGAGAGAAGGCAGGAACAAGTCTGTGATGGTGTTCACAGGGGTCTCAGGTTGAGGGAAGAGATGAGGATCTGACTCCATGTTTCAGAAGGCTTGATTTAGTATATTATGATATATATTGTATTAAAACTATACTAAAAGAATAGAAGAAAGGATTTCATCAGAAGGCTAGCTAAGAATAGAAAAAGAAAGAATGATAGCAAAGCCTTGTGGCTCGGACTCTCTGTCTGATCCAGCTGACTGTGATTGGCCATTAATTACAAACAATCACAGATGCACCTGTTGCATTCCACAGCAGCAGATAATCATTGTTTACATTCTGTTCCTGAGGCTTCTCAGTTTCTCAGGAGGAAAAATCCTAAGGAAAGGATTTTCCATAAAAGATGTCTGTGACACAGGTCAAAATGGGGATGGTAGCTCTGCAACCACAACTGGAGGGCAGAATGTGTGGACAAGGTGAGATGAGAACCTGCAGTTTCTTGGGATGCTGCTGCAAACAAGTCTCTATCTCAGTTCCACATCTGCAGTGCCCTCCACTTAACTGCAATACATTTAATCAAGCTGCTTCTTATGGGAACCAAATAAAGCTTGATGATGCTTAATGGCTGGGGCTTAATGGCTGGGTTGTTTAACTGGGCTCATAATTTTGATTAATTAAGATGCTTGCAGGTGTTGGAGAGGCACTTCCACGTCAGTGTTGATGTTCAGAGGCAAGGGGGGTTCCCCTCCTGGAGGATTTCTGCCGGAGCTACTTTAGCAAAGCAAAGCTGCCCTCAGACACATGCAAAAAAGTCAACCCTTGTAGCTGGTAGTAGCCTCCAGATTTCTGGGAATTCTGACAATCTGTGAGTTGTTTTGGGAGGATTTATGGAAAAGTCCAAACCCCAAAACTCAAACTTTTGCCCAGGGCAGCCTCTGTGTCCTTGACAGGAAGGGAGGATGTGAGAGGCTCTCCAGGTGATGGTGGTGCCTTCAGGCAGGGGATCCAACCAGCCCAGCAATGTGCCCACCCCAGAGCTGCGTCCCTGCTCCAGTGAAAAGGGCAGCAGAGCCTATCCTGAGCAGAACACACAACGCCTGGTTGCTCATGAGTTTGTGCCCTGTGTTCCTCTATCCCCACTCTGTGATTTCAGCCTCCCCCTGTCAGGATATCACCCTTTCCTATCCATTGTCACCAACCTGCCAGCTCCCCCTCATGGGTGACCTACAGGAGCCTGGAGGGGGATGCACAGAGAGTGCCCAGCAGGTACAAGAAATCACATTACCTCCCTCCTAAGCAGTACAAATTTGTGTTTCCCTTTTCTATTTCTTACAGAACATACTTACCTCAGGTTTTCGTCTCCTGAATGCTGATTAAATGCCCTCAGGTTAAAAAATATTTGGGGATAAATGATGATATGGATACCAGTGTGGCATATGCTCATTTCCATAAGAAACTAACACTGGAGAGAGGCACAATGAGCCAGACTCATCACTGTTTTCAGTATCAAACACTGACATTAAATTAAGCAGAGCTTGATGATTTAAGGCTTAGTAAATTACTACTGCCAATTATAAAGGCAATATAACCTTGTGGACAGAGCACTGGAGTAGGGCTCAGAAGAGCTGTACCTTGCCATGGATATACTGAATTAATTTGGACAAATGTTACCTTCACATGCATATCAATACTGGTCAATGTTCCACTTTTCTTGTAATGTGTATAAGAAATGCAAAAATGAAGTAGCATATTGTCTAGGGACCACAAAGACAACCTTTTTCCAAGAAACAGCTTGTTTGGCAAGCACAGGAGGGAAAAACTGAGTCAGGAGGAGTGATGTCAGCCTTTTCTCATGCATCCACATTGTCCTGCTCAACCACAGCTTTGGAATAAGAGACATTCAGATCTAATTTATGGAAGCTTAAGCAGATACCAATTGGAGTAGCCTCTGAGTGTTATCAGCATATTTCATAGCTTGTGATGAATCATAAATGAAATATCTGCTTTCCAGTGCATTAAGGCTACAGCAGAAGTTGATTAGGATTATTCTGACCCAAGCAATGGTTCACTTTTCAGGGAAGGGGTTGAAATGTCCAGACATCAGCCCAATTTGTCCTGGAGCTATAATGCAGTGGATTCCGAACATACAGTGACTGCACCTTTAAACTCACTGTCAGTGTCTGCAGTCCATCATGGAGTATCCATCTTCTCATTACAGCCTGCCACAAGTTTAGCTGCATGGGTGCTGTCTGCAGCCTAGCTGGTCAATTATTTTCTTCTATTTCCACCCCAGAGGAATGCAGGACTCAAAGCCATTTTGCTCTGAAATTACTCACAGGGTTTTGGTTAAGTGTGCCATTAACATGGACCTGCTTCTCTCTTCCACTTTGATCACTGAGCAAGTACCTTTGCTTCCTGCAGGACTAACAACATTAAATTAATATATTTGCCCAGCAGCTACTGTAACTCTGGATACAGTTACCCAACTCTGCATCTCCAGATTGGACCTGAAGGCCAAAGAACAGATTTTGCAGCATTTCAGTCCTGTGAGAAAACCTTTGTTATGCAAAATTCCTCTTATCTCAACTTTTATGAGGTCTCTCAGAGCATAATATAGAGAAGGCAGACTCAAAGATAACTGGAACTGTTCCTTAGAACCTATTATTTTATTAATCAAGAAAGATCAGAGAAATAGGTGCAGGGACAGCAGATGACTAGACAACACTGAACCATAAATTTTCAGAAACCTGTTCAAAAGAGCTGAGATGCTCAGCAACTCAACTATAACTGGTTAACTTGTTCTGCCAGTGTAAAGGAGCCTCAGATGTGGGTATGGATCCCTGCAGAATGATCTTCTCACCAAGAAATAGGCAAGAGAAGATTCTGAACTGGCCCCAGTCCCAGCACTGGACACCAAGCAAGGCCAGTAGCACTTGCAAGGCTTGGAATGGTACCAAAGCAACAAACATTGTCCTGAGCCTCACTGTGCTACCTCAGCCATGACCACACAAAGACTTTCTGTGGCTTTTGAACTGAAATCTCCCACTTTCTGACTCACAGGGGCTGTTCCAGTCTGCAGGAAGCAGAAAGTTAACCAGAGCAGTGTGAGGGTCAGACAGCATCAGCTGTTAGAAGCTGTGGTGCTGTGCTCCTCCTGACTCTTTTCTCCAGACACTTTCCCTGGACTGCTCAAGGGAAGCCATCTACTATTTCAGAACAAGCTGGGTTTCCAAAAGCCTTCAAACTAGAACATTAGTTTTTGCAAACTTTCTCTATCTTTCTACCCATCAGAAAAATTGATGAAATCCAACTTCCTTGACACTCTCAAGGTGACTTCCAAGATCTCCTCTTCAGAGAGAAAACGAGCTCTGCCCTCCTTGCTGTTCACAGGGTAGGGGAGGTGCAGCAGCAGCTTGCTGTAAAAGAGGACACAAGGGGATGTCAGTGTCTCAGACCAGGTGAGCAGTTGAGAAATCATTGCAATTTACTCCTGCAATTCCTCAGTCAGTATGCCAGGGAATGTTATCCCAATAAATCTCCTTGTTGTGATGGGGTTCCTGCAACACTTCACGCACAGCAAGACTGGATATTGATAGAAATATTGAAATATTTTTATCACTTAAAAGCAGCCTGGCTTAGGAGCAGCCCCAGAACTACAGAACTGGAAGCAGTTGCTTGGAATCTTTTTACCCATCTGTGGGAGAATAAAGTTTTTCAGTATGTAGAACTTGACATCTTGATTGTTTCCCTCATACTGAGACTTGCACTTATATTTGTGAAAGCAGCACTGGTTCAGGCTGTACCCAAGCAACCATCAGATTTATGGTGAACTTTTTATTTGCTAGGCTTGTGACTAGAGACAGCTGGGTACTGAGAAGATAATGGCAGATCTGAGTCACCAAAAAGACAGAATTGCAAAAGGAAAAGGATGCTGAGGTTTTCTACATCTGCAGCATTGCATTAAGCTCCTTCTTTTACTGCCCATAGGTTCAGCAAGTCATTAGCTGAACAATTATTTCTCCCAATTTTCCAGTGTCAAAACAAACATTCCCAAACCTTCTTCCACTCCTGTTGCATCCTTGGGTTGACATCAAGCACAGGGTAACTGATTTTGCCTGGTTTTGGCAGAGAAAAATGGCTTTTCTATAGTTAGTCTGCTGGGGACTTATTTAGGCCTTAATCCATGGCCTGCTCCTGGAATTTATCTGCAGAAAGCTATTCTCATATAGATCTTCCCACACCCCATTCAGTGCAGCAAGTCAGCCCAGAGAGGATTAAGGTTTCTTATAAAAACAGTCTTTGTGAAGAAGGACTTTGAGCAAAACAGACATGGGAATTATCAGGAAATCTCAGGCAGAGGAATTGCACACTGAGGGAGAGATGGAGGAAGACTGAGAAATCCAAGAGTGTATTATCAGTTATCTTTGTAGGCTTGAAATAGCCCTATTAAAAAAATCAAAGGAAACTCTTTAGAAAACCTTGTAACATTTCTAGCTCTGCATTTGTGCTTGGATAGATCCATAATTTGGCTTTCAGCTACTGAAAATTCATCTGCACTTTTTTTACCACCTTCAGTCATACTTATTTGTACAAATTAGTGCTTAGGAATACTAGACCAAGTCTTTTAAGATCTTGGGCAGCTTTTTACCAGGTGTTTTGAGCCCTTGATACTTGTTTAAGTAGCCAAAATCTGTGCCAAAGCTTTTTACTGGACAGTATCACAGATTCAAAGCCAGAAGATTGTGTACCTATGGATGGACTATGAGTGGCTTTTCTGTACCTATTTTTCACAAGCGATTATTAACAGTACAATCTCTAACTTTGCTTTCCACACAGACTGCAGTTAAAAGCTTGGCTAAACCCCATTTCAAACAGGATATTAATTGTACTTTTATCAGTTGTGCTGCACTTACTTTTTGGGAGTTCGAAGGTCAAGAACCTTGTCCTGGATGTCTAATGTGATGTCTGAGTACTTGGTCTCTGGCAGCTTGATTTTAATCTGAAACGATGGGCAGAGGTAAAGCTGTGATTACATATGTTGCCCTAAAAGCCATAAAAGAGCTCATTTTCATGAATATTTCAATGCTAGTATCAAAGAGCAACGTTTTGAGTAGGTAATTTGTATCAGAGCAAATCCGACAGTGATAATGACTGCTTTCAATAGCTTAGTGATGTGTATTGATATCCTATTCTCTTCCAGTTCCTGAGCTGCTAATGTGCTTGACAGGTGTTCAACACTCAGCAAAGCCTCAGGCTTTGTGCATTGCAGGGACAGTTTGCTTCTGCTAGAAAGATAACACAGCACTTCTACCTGTCCTGGAGCTCAGAAACCACGGAGGTCTTTGATTATATAATGATGAGGCAGGATCTGATAGCTGGAACTTTAAAGGCTGTCAGCATTGTAGCATTTTGCTAGCCCACACAGCTTGTAAAAAATGCAGGAAGATGAAAAAAAAAATCTCCTTCCCAGCCCCTCTCCTTTCCAAAAGTGTGTCCAAGATGAAACTTCATCTTCGAGCTACATTTTTATTCCCTTTAAGTTTATATGGGGCATATGCATTTGCAGAGGTTGCCTTGAGCACACTTGGTCCTTGAGGAGATACAGAAGTTCCTCAGGTTAGCAAGTGTAAATGTCATCTCAAAACGCTTGGAGAACCACAAGAAAGTGCTACAGGAGGTCAATCAAAGGCAGCAGTGGAGCTTGGTGTTTACATTCTGTCCCTCAGAAAGAAGGGGAGGTGGGAAAGGCAGAGAAAGAGCACAGGGAAGGGACCAGAGCTCCAGGCTCAGCTCACCACTATATCTTCACAGCAGGCAGTGGAGGGGTCTTTCCCAGTCATCCCAAAGAACACATCCTCTGTTCCCACGTGCTGCTTGAAGGAAATCTCATATCTGCCAAAGAGAAGCCATTGCCTAGGAATTCTGGAGCAGGAGGCTGAAGGAGACTGTGATTCTCAGAGGACTCTAAATCCTCCTCACACTGCCTCTCCTCCTTTGCAGTCTCCCTTCAAGGCTCCAATCCATCTGCACTGGGTTTCTGTTCAGAGCCATGACTGGGACAGCTGGAAGACAGGTGAAAATAATTTCCTCCACCTCCCAAAGCACTCACTGTGCTGCCTCTGCTCCCCCAACCAGCCTTGGCAGGACCAGGAAATGCTTCCTATTGCCTATCAGCAAGTCAAACAGCACAAACTCCTGGGGAATGGATTTGAAAAGGGAGATGCCACAATTACATGTGTTCTGTTCTGTCCTTTAGCATATTTTTGCAGCCTGAGCATAGCACTCTTAAGCCAGACTGCAGTTTTGCATTTAGCTAACATTTATTTTCTTCTCCTTCACATCTACAAAATGTGGAATCACGTATTCCCTTGCTCTTGGTAATTAATGAATGAGGAAAGGCAAACTGAATTTGTATTTATAACATATGCTACTCCTACTAAGTTCGGCAAAATTACTGGGGTGGATCACTTGTCTAAGCTGTTTGAAAATCTTTCACATCTCCAGTGTGCATCTGCATATGTAATAATTCCTAAGTCAGTGACAAATGTGTCTAATAGCTCTGGATGCACCTCTGTAGCCATCTGTTTTCCTTTCAGCACATTTTCTTTGCTTCATTTGATAAACTATTGTAAAGACTCATATTCTCTCTCTTCATCTGTGCAACAAGGGTCAGAAGTGCTTGAGGCTGGAGAAGCACTGCAGAGGGGAAGGATCACAGAACAGCACGAGAAAATCTCTGTGCCCACAATACAGACAGTGTGTTCTGTACCTGACAGTGACCATTTCAGGGACAACTGTGCATGAGGGTGAAATCCAAATTATTTTCAGAAAGGCTGAGTCCCTGCTCAGGTGGGTCTCAAGTCCTGTGTTTAATTGGGAAATTGAAAACCTCTTTTTCAGAAAGGCTGAGTCCCCATTTAGGTGGGTCTCAGATCCCGAGTTTAGCTGGGAAATTGAAAACCCCATTTTCAGAAAGGCTGAGTCCTCATTTAGGTGGGTCTCAGGTCCTGTGTTTAACTGGGAAATTGGACTCCTCATGTCCTGACTTACATGCAGAAAAAAAAATGAAGATTCTGGTGCACAATGTGCAGCCTCATGGGCTACAGGCCATGTGCTCCAGCATTTAACATTTTAGGACATTGAAAGAATGATTGGAAATGCAAAATCTGCTTTATGGACTGACCCTCAGGGCTTTCTGACCTCTACAAACTCTAACTCACATGCCTGATTTCAAGAATATTTTTGCTACTGTTTTTCTATGAGCAAGGGAAAAGCCTCTGGTTTCAAGTTGTGCTTTGACAGGCTAAGATTGAGTGACAAGATTTAAGAGCTCAAAATTGCCTGCACACAGCTTTCTTTCTGCAGTGCTATTTGTCTCTAAAGAGCTTAAATCTTTGAAATGCAAATATACATTGGAGTACTTTATGAATTTATGAGTATGGAAAAATGGATGCAGCTCAGTTGCAGCAGGAAAAAGCAGGTATTTCACACAAATGGCATATTTTAAAGTTAATAAATCGTTTTTCTGACCTACTTCCCCTCCTAATCCCACTTTATACAAGTAACTGACACTGCACATAAACTTATGCTGGAAAAACCAACACTAAGTTTCTGTGCTGAGATCAGAAGACTTCAAAGGAGGGGTTAAAACCATTCTTCACATATTGCTTTAGATGCAACTCTGATATCTTTCCTTTCTTCTTGCACAACACAATCTTTTCAGCTGGCTGCAGATGCTGTTTAACTCTCATTTCCATTAATGCCATGTGAAGCCCACACAGGCAGTCTTAGCTTTCTTACTCTGGTTTTTCTCTAGGGTCCCATGTGTCATCAAATTCAGATCCTTCTGGGACCTCCTCTGTATTCCAAATGGTTTTCTTGTTTTCAGATTTCACTTGAAAAGTACCTGTGAGTGAGGAGAAAAATCTCACTGACACATTTTGAAATGTCTCTGTTCCTCAAGTGCTGCTGAAAGCTTAGAATATTTTTCAAGAATGAAAAAAAAAAAAAAAAAGAGAGAAAGAAAAGCCTTTTCTAAAGCCTGGAAAAGTATTTCTAGGCTTTAAAAAAAATCTTTGCATTAAAAGCATTCTAGGTAATGACTACAGTCTTCTTCACCTTACTCTCTTATGAATGAGGATTTGCAGAGGGAGGATGTTTTCCTTTCACTTAAATCTTCTTTGCCCAACCTTTATTTCCTGGAAATCCTCCTTTCTGGCATATAATATCATGCACTTCAAAATCAGTAAAGTGTAGAGGGATGAAATACTAATCTTCCACAAGCCCCCTGACATGAGATTCTCAGTGAGCAGAGTCATTCACAGGAGGATCACCTCCTCACACAGAAATCCAGCTCTTCCCATTAATTATTGGGCACAGCCCAGACAAGGTGCTGAAGACACATGAAAGTTTTTGGGCAGAATAGTTTGGTTTATGTCTGTGCTGCATGGAAAAACATTCTTTTAGTAAGCTGGTAAATGTGAAACTGGAAGGTTTTAGAGTAGAGTCTCTGGTTATTGTTGGACAGCAATAAAAGCAAAAATAATCTATTTTATTTGCCAGAGTTCCTTTCCTGCAAAACTCACCCTGGCCCTTGTTGGCCTTTCTTAGGGCGCAATAATGTGACAGCCTCAGCTCCAAAAAAATTTAACACTAACTTTGCCAAGTCTCTACCAAAACTGCCTTCCTGTCTTTCCTGAGTTCTTCTATGGAGTTTTGCTGCTCAGTTATGATCCCTGCAGTCCCTGACCAGGCTGTGCTCTGAACTGTTATCATTTCCACTGGAGGCTGCTCTGGCATTACCCTTTCTGCTCCTCTTTGCATGTTTTAGAGTTAAGCTTTCAAGAAAGGAATAATTTTATAGTGTAATTGTAAGGAATGGCACGCTATGCCCATCTCAAACATCACTGACCTTTCTTTTATAGCTGTTACAGCTTGCTGTAACTGAATTGTAAATTCAGCAGAATTTTAAATTTAAATTTTAAATTTAAATTTCAAAAAAAAGCTGAACTGTAAATGAGACTGAGTGCCAAAGCACACAAATGCTCCTCCTTACTGGTGGTCTCCTTTTTGACTGGTCCAACACTCCCAGGAGTCATGGCACCAACAGAACAGCGTGGCTGCAAAGAAAGGCAAGAGCATCTTAAATCAATTTTTATAGAGCCAAGCTTGGTTACAACCATGATGTCAGCAAATACAACACATCATCTAAGGTCAAACAAACCCCTGATGGAATTGAAAACACATTACCCCACAGTTTCATGAGTGAACCACTGGAAATTCTCTTTTCTTCACTCTGACACAGCAGAAAGTGACCTTGACACACTGGGCTGAAGCAGGACTCACAGAAGCCCAGTCATACAGACAGATGTGCTTTGTGAGTTTTGGTTTCCATGGCATTTTGGCAAAATTTCCGTGCTTTGCCTGCCATGAAAATATTACAGGAAACCAAGGGTGCTACATGAAAGCCCCATCACAGCATTTGGATTGCTTTTTACTGTAGAGATCATGAGGCAAGAACATTTCCTTCTAATTATGAATCAATTTAGTGCTAATAGGCCAAAGTGAGGCATTTCTCTATATATGAAGATTCCTTGGTTCAATAAAAGTGCCTCATATGCACAGAGCATTAAATTAAATCAAAATAAAGATTTCAATTTACCCAGATTGACTCAGACTTAATTGACATCTCTTGTGGCAACTTTCCATTTCTGTCTCTGAAGTGTCATTCATTTTATTAATAAGATGTAAACAAATTCCTTTTAAAATCAGGATGTTTACTGCAGAGATGTACAGCAATAATGCAGGGTTTAAAAGGCAGGCATTAAACAGCTGGAGGATAGTTGGGATGTGAAGGATCACATCTGAACCCACTGAAATAAAACTTCAAGGGATTTGCACCCCTTTTATCCCAAATGTCACTTGCATTGCCACTAATGGGGCTGGTCAGCTCTTTGTTGAGGAAAGATTTGGAGGAACACTCAGGCATTTCCATTTTTGTTATCTGGTTTTTGGTTTTTTTTTTTGGTTATCTGTTTTTGTTTGTTTGTTTGGGGGGTTTTCTGTTTGTTTTAGGGATTTTTTGTTGATTTTTTGTTTTGCTTTTTGGGGTTTTTTTGGGTTTTTTTGTTTATTTTTGCCTTTTGTGGGTTTGTTGTGTGTTTGTTTGTTTTTTTTGTTGGCTTTTTTGTTGTTGTTGTTGTTGTTATCCATGTCATAATATGATCTGTTCAAAATTCTGAGGGACTTGGCCATGTTTTGAGCCTTCACAGAGGCCTTCTACATTGCTGGCACCTTTGGGGCTCCTGGGAATAATTCTTCCCAGCACACAGGCAGGCTTGGATAAAATTGGGTGTTGCATGTTGCAGGAATAATGCATGTTCTCCCAACACTGTGATTTTTATCTGCTCCTGAGAGGAATTGATACAGAAAACACAATCAGATATTTCTCCAATTATTCATTCAAATTATGCACCTTAGAATGATTGTTCCCCTTTCCCTATTTTACAACCACCAAACACCAGTTGTACTTCAGTGATCAATTATCTCTGCAGCTCTTCAATGCCTGACATACACAATTAATACACTCAGTTGCCTCTGGATATTATGGTCCTTACTCAGAAGTTGAGCAGCAAAGTTTTCCTCTCATATCTGGTTGTAATTGCCTTCATCTCCAGCAGAGTTCAGGGAAAAGTAGGGGAAATCTGAAGTATCTAAAGCTTTTTCAAGTCCATGTTCTCTTTTCCTTCAGGCTGAAAAACTCAACCTCACTCACATGTTGTGCTCACAATGTCTCCCTCTTTTCCTGGGGCATTTTGCTCATTTTCAAGAGCTTGTTACTCTGAAAGGATCCTCAAGCTGTTTCACTCAGACCAAAATCTTCTAAGTTTTTCTGTCATAGACATATTTTATGAAAAATCCTTTCCTTAGGATTTTTCCTCCTGAGAAGCTGAGAGGCCTCAGGAACAAAATGCAAACAATGGTTATCTGCTGCTGTGGAATGCAACAGGTGCATCTGTGATTGGTCTCATGTGGTTGTTTTTAATTAATGGCCAATCACAGTCTGGCTATCTCAGACTCTCTGGTCAGTCACAAGATTTTATTATAATTCTTTTCCATTCTTTTCAAACCTTCTGATGAAATCCTTTTCTCTATTCGTTAGTATAGTTTTAGTATATAATTTTCTTTTAATATAATATATATAATAAAATAATAAAACATGGAGTCAAGATTCCCATCTCTTCCCTCATCCTGGAACCCCTGTGAACACCACCACAGTTTTCATTCTGCTTTTACTCACTCTGGAGAAAAAGATTTGCTTCTCCTTGATTAACAAGATAAGGCTACGGTACAATATGTAAAAGAAGCGGCAATGCTCATGAAAGGCTCACCACATCATCATCATCATCATCCTCCTCTGGAGCATCACGTAGCAGTTTGGCAAGGCTCTGCAGGGAAGAGCCTGAGAACACGCTGTCCAAATCCATACCCACTGCTCACCTGTGCAGGAAAAACAAGTGGCAGATGAAGCAGGAACTAATTGTGCTTGGAAGAGCCTGCAAAGCACAATTTTCCTGCTGTGTGTTTGGGAAGGAAAAGTTTAGCCAAGTTCCTGTGTGTGTGATGACAAAACATGTAAAATGGAACATATAATCAAAGAATATGGAACATAAAATCAAAGAATATGCTGAGTGGGATGGGACCCATCAGGATCTCCTGGCTCTGTGCAGGACAGGCCAACCCCAGCACGTGCCCGGGTGTCACCACATTTCCCTTCACAGAGAAAAGCAAGGCACAATTCTTCCAAAGAATATTTCTGGGATTCACATTCTCTGAACCTCAGAGAAAGGGAAAACACAATTCTTATTTGCTGTACCTGTGTTTTTGCCAATGCAATATGGAGATTGTTTACCCAAAGTGATGGTGTTTTGTTTCCTTGGCCTGTCAGGGCCAGGTATGTGTGTGTGTTGGCACTGTGGACTGACAGTCATGAGATTCTGGGCAGTGTGTGCAGAGTTGAGTGCTTGGCAGATTCAGTTTACATGTAATGTAACA